CAGGTGTGAAGCGCATACCAAACCGCGCGTCATTGCCACGGGGTCAGATCCTAGAAGAGCTATGTCGTCTGCGTACTCGATGTCTGTGAGCGGAGGCCCAGGGAGCACTTCGACCCCACAGGCATTAGAGGCTGCTAGTGAGTCTTCAATGATCGTATCAATGACGATTGCTGCATACAGTAGGGCGGGTAAGCGAAAACATGCTATTGCTGACGCCTCCCTTCTTTCTCTTTAACATACTTTTTCTTCCCCACCCCATTAATAACTCCCTCCTTGTAGGCCCAGCACTTAGGATCTTCATCATGCATCGGTTTTGCGTGCAGCATCTGCTCGTCACATGGTGCCAACATCGTCAGGTATTTCCAAATCAATCTTCAAACCTCCACACCCAGTCTATTTGGCCGCCCTCAATGCCGCACTCTGAAACAAGCAGGACAACAAGCTGCTCTCACACTCACACTGGACTCGCACAAGGTAGTGAAGCAGCGGCGTTGAACACTGATGTCATGCCGTCGATGATGATGATGATGGTCTCCGAGATAATCATAGGTGTTTCTGGGCGCCCAATCTTGCTCATATGGAGCATAGAAATGGTGGTCAATATTAGATAATCTGATGAGGCTTTGGTGCAAGAAAAGGACAAATGTATAAAGTGTTGTTCATCGACACATAAACCGAATACATTGTCCGATGGAAAACATGTATGAGGGACCCTTTGAATATCAGCCCGTATCATGCAGATCTTCAGGAAAACAGAAGAGTTACCGGTGGCGCTTTAGTTAGCACATCAATTGAGAACGCTCCCGTTGAACTGTTCGTGCACGACTGGATTGGAAACTACCCAATAAACCGAATTTAAGATGTTCGACTTGGAACGACGGCTTTCCGGGCCTAGCAAAGCAGGAGCCCGACAAAGCTGTGTATTTTCACATCGTTTGTTAGTGTCCACTGACGTATTGCTCCTAGGTATTTGTAGATTATTTAACTCTCTAGGATTCCAGCGTTTGTACTTCATGCAAGTCCAACGGAGTTCCACCCAGCCTTTTAGGATTCCAGCGTTTGTACTTCATGCAAGCTGCCTCATAGTTACATGGGGATCACACACTGAAGGGACGTCGAACACGGAGATAGTCCAACGGAGTTAGACCCACCCCGTTTTTGTAAAGTTACGAATGTTTCACTCTTTTCTCGCCGTTTCTTCCCTTCTCCATCGATCCTCGGCGTAACCTCACACCAGTTCGCTCCAACATTCTGATCACTTTATGCAGATTGGGTCCAAAATCCCGAAGGTCCGCTCCGTTCACGAAAAGTAATGTGGGACCCTCTTACCTATTTTTCATGTGAACCAGTTCAGCGAAAAATTCTGGACCTCGCTTCTTCAACACTACATTTTAAAGAACCCCCATGAACTGGTATCTTCCAACTGGTTCTCCAGATCGCCTAGTCGTGAAGCGCACCTCTTCTCTCGCAGTTACCCCTACCAGATGGAGATGCTGCGATGACACACTGTTCCCTAGAATTCACGACTGTGAAGCACGCTTTTTCCCCATAATCTCAAGCCGTGTAAGAATCGCGGTGACGCTCATCTATCCTATACTTCTGTACTCACAAGGGATAACTGGTTTTTCTTCTCGTATGACACACAAATGTTGCCGCTCCAATGTGCTATGCAGACCAATTCTAACGAAATTGAGGTAGAGGGGGGTTACGACTGCAGATAGATGGAAGTCTAGGGAGGGTGAATTGGCTGGTAAGTAAGAGAACTTTTTTGTCAAGTCACGAACTATACGGACAAGAATCAAGTGCGACTAACTCGTGTTTCAAATATTGAGTTCAATGAACAAGATGAATCGTGCGTCAAGCAAATCCTAGATGTCAACGGAATTTCAACCCACTATTGAGTTTAGCTGGTTATCATCAGACACTATTATGCCATTTGTCTGCAGCTCCTTTGAACTCGGATATGGAAGATATACAAGAACTGAGATATCATAAATCAAGTCAAGAGTGGCTGCAATCAATACCGATCGATAGTCACTGATTAATCAACGGTAATGCTGACGGTACGTAAACAGTACGTAAAATTTGTCCGGCAGATGAAGAGATGAAATGTAAGCCTCTCCGAAAACGATACACTTATCAGCGAGGCCCGATAAAAATCTCCAAGGGAGTTGGGTAGGTGTTCCTTCCTGGAACACGGTATCCCCGTCGCCAAATCAGAACAGATACCATGAGCCTCATCGTCTTGGTCGTTACAACCAAGAATCAACAAACAAGATAATCCGTATCCCAATGGAACAACGTAAGCAAAACATCTCATCTTCATCCGCATTACCGTAATGCGACCGTAAAAATGCTCCGACGAATAAAGAACATACAACACGGTGGTAACGATCGTTCACCCTTTCGGTGCCTAAGCTGCCATACCAGACAAAGGCTACAAGCCTAGACGGGAGCAGTCGAGATGCCGGGATCAGGCTCGCACCAGCAACGTTCTGATCAAGTAAAGGGTGGTGCGGTTGTGTAGAATTCCGGCTCACAACCACTGAAGGTGTTTAGGGAATGTGCCTTCGATTGGAGGGATACGGACGTCGGACAAAAATTCCAGATCTCCGAAATTTTCTCCTGGATGGGGGCTTTCTCCGAAGAATACCACACTGTGTGTATAGTATAAGAGGGTGACGTCCAAAGCGAATGGGCTCAGTCAAAGCAGATTCTTCATATCCCATTAAAGAAAACTTCCATTGCACTTTCTACTATGTGCAAAAACGCAAACGAACGAAGGGTTGAACGGTCGAAACATTCCGTTCAGCTGCAGTTACGAAACAGGTTGGATCTGTCGTTCTCCCCGAAAACCGAATCAATACAAAAGCTTGTTTGCTCGGTCTAAACCGAAACGTTACCTACAGGCACGTTTGTAGATCCCAAAGGTACTCATTAGATTTCCAATTGTGGACTACAAGACAAAGTCAAACTATGGTGAGAAGTCGCACATTTTTTTCAGTTCTTGTTCCGAATCACAAGCGTTGCACGTTTGACAAAAACCAAAGGCTCAAATCAATATCCTCCCGCATATTGGCTAGATATTACCTTCGTGATAAGAATGGCCGAGCAACGCGTCCAGAATGAACCAGTGTCAGTACTGAGTCACCAGGGTCACCCAAGAAATTTCTGTCCAAGATCAGTGAAACAAACAATATGGTGGTTCATCCGGAAGACAACTCACTTTTGAAAACTTGAGACCGACTGTGATAGGTCTTTAAATTCAAAAGTTCATAGTCACAGGGAATTTGTGCATCACCAAACAAGGCGAATTGCGGGGGCATCAGGCTAGTCCAGCTGCTACTGATGAACACACGCTGCACCGGTTGAAGTAGATCAGTTAGAGCACGGTATGTGGGAAGACTGAGTCTAGGGACATTCTGAAAATGGATGAACAAAATTCATCTGTGGGCAAGCTCAAAAAAATCGGCGCGCTATTGGCGACAACAACAATGGCAAGCCTAAATGTGAGCAGTGATCATGCCCAATGATGGCAGTTGCGTTTATGTTGGCGGTCAGGTGGATAGAAAACAAGTAAACCACCAATAGTGCAAAGTTTGTTTGAAATCAGCGCTGCTAGTCACGGTCATGGCGCTTCATAAGCTGAAAAGCGAAGGTAGCGTCGAATGACATGACACGAATCGACTGTGGGCATCTAGCCTTCTCCTCGGTCTGTTCTGGCGTTGCTAGTAAAGTAATCTGGCGTCTGTATACTACACACTACTGACAAAATGGGCTAGAAACAATGAATCCGAATGAAACCAAACTGACTTGCAGTTCCATCGGTCGACACACTCCGAATAAGTTAAGTTGGCAGCCCCAGAAATTTACGCAAAAAGTCTCATCGGGCGACGTGAGGTAAATCGGTGAGGTAAATCGTTGACACTTTCACAGGTGGCGATACCCAGAACATAGCATTCAGCTGTAGCACCCTTTCGGTGCCTAGCTGCCATGCCACCTGAAGGAAGCACGAGGGCTGGGATACTGCCAGGTTGCCCAAGCCTAGACAGGGGAAGTCGAGAGGCGGAGGTCGGATTCGAACCACGAACTATCCGGCCAGTAAATTCGCGCTCTAACCGCTTGGGCCATCCCAGAATAACTAACTTTTAGTTTATTCATACAACGCAAGCAACTTTATCCAAATCCACCCTCAAAGGGAACCGGAATTTACTGTAAACTAACGAAATACACTCATTTGCAAACTAATTTGGTTTTGCGAGAGACTCAACTGGAACCCAGCTGAATCTATCGTTTGTGGTGTTTCCAGGCAACTGAATGTGCGGCACCAGGCCGCCCCATGTTTCAGTCGCTACGATATTTGAGATATCGCGACACATGTATATTCGTAATGCATTAACCATAAGGTTGTCTGGAAACATCACAAACGAGAGATTCAGCTGGGTTCCAAGTGAGTCTTCCGCAAAACCCAATTTGTTTGCAAATGAGTGTATTACGCTAATTTCGTGCACTTTGTTTTCAAGTAGAACATAAGGTTGGCGGAGACTCGGGGACTGCGCTTACCTGATGAGCCACAAGAAGGGCGAAACCGGTCATGGGTTGTCGACGAATTTTCAGCAAACTTATGAGCAGTGCATTACGAATATACTGTAAACAGAGAGGTGGCCAACCCTTGACTTGGCAGGAGAGTACGAAGGAGATCATGGTTGTACGGCAGTGAAGCATCGGTGTTGAACACTGATGTCATGCTGCCGATGGCGATGATGATGATGATGATGAATTTAATTAATTAATTTCATTAATTTCATGCAACCTGGGTCAGCGGCCAGATAAAAGTTCTCCCAGTTGTTTTCATCATCCATTATCATCATTGTCAGCTGTATCAGCTGTATCAGTTGATAAAGGGCACGGCTGTTTCCCTTAGCAAAAGCCTTCTCCATCTCCCGCGCTTTCGATGTCCACCAGAGCTCTCGGTCTTTCCTTAGACTCTTCACTATATGGCGTTTGGGGGATTCGCGTGCGCCGTCGAACCCCTTGCCTGCTGGTATGGGGGTCCTGGCACCAATCATGGATAACGACCTCGACGACATCCAGTGGTCTTGTGGTCGAATTGGAGAAGTCGGGCAGGCAGCACTGAACGCCGCTAGGATAGCTCCTTTCACATTTTGCCACGCTTCATCCACATGTTCACTGCCACCACAGTATTGTTTTACTGTGGAGAGTTGTTGGGCTAGCTCAGATCGATACTGTTGAGCTATGGCAGTTCTTCGAAGATAGTGGATTGG